TAAGTAGTGAAAAGCATTAAGTCAGCATTACCTAAAAAACATGATGTAATAAGACCACCCAGACCGGATGTTGTAAGTTCCTACAAAGATGGCAAATCCTGTCTAAATGGATGTTGATCTAATCATAGCAGTTAGTGACAAGGGCTTCCTGCCGATTTGTTCCGGGAGGGCATAAACATGGGTCTGAATGTTAGCGTGAGTAATGCCACAAAATTGCGATTTGAGTCGATGAGGATACCCTCAGTTAAAACCTTGTGCTGTAATTTTTAGAAAGCTAAAAGATAGAGTACAAAGATTGTAAAGAAGATTGTAGATTTCTGGAAATTTCCATAGACTTCGCATGTATAATTTTATGTTTACTCTATCTGACTTGCTGCTAGTTGACCGTTGGGAATTCATTTAAAGTAATAATGATTATGCGAATGAGCATTCTAATAAGGATGAGTGCTCAAAAACAACTTGGCTGCTCCATGCTCTTATGCATCAGAGTAAACGCTCAAGGTTTTCTTTAAGCACGATAATAATGTGTTGTAGAGGTATTTTTATCTTCAAACGATGATAATTATAGGGAAATGGATAAGATGAGTTGTTGAAACCTATATTTTAGCTTCGCCCACGATCCAGCCTGAAAAGCTGAATGTGACAGCGGATTCACGAAAGACTGTGATTTTACCATGTAACGCTACAGGAATTCCGGAGCCGGTGGTATCCTGGGTAAAAGCGCCAAATATTCAAATCGAAGCGAATGAAAGTAAGTTTTCTTAAGCAGTCAACCGTCTGGGACTACAAGTGTATGTGGTAACCCATTTAAAGTGAATTTCAGCTGCTTTGTACACCTACATATGAAATTCATTGTCCTATAGCGGAGTTCTCAGTTAATCAGTAAAGTCCTTGACATCTGGCGCTTACAATTAGAAAGTATAAATTTTTGATGCAGTCTGAGTGTAACGCTTTTTCTTCTATTAAAAACCCAGATATATTGTAAAAGGTGAAGGACGACATTTTTTATTTTTCACCTTTTTTTTAGCCACAATTTTTTAAACTTGAATGATTCATTCTAGGAATTATGCTTTAATAGGACTTTGCAAGTTTTTACTATATACAACAAGGTTGCGAATTAACTGAGTCATAACGTTTTAAAGAATATTTGCGCAACGCGAAAATTTCTGGCACTCATATTACTTAGGTAAAGTCACGATTGTAAGATTTGTACCGTATCATCCGTTAGAATATTAAATTCATGTACTAGGCGTCCTCTGAAGCCTAGCAAAGCTAACAACAGTATAGAGGAAGGCCAAAGTACTCTTTGTAAACTATTTGTCTGCTCGCAAGTATGCAATCAATCACTTACTGTGTGAGTTTTAATGCTACAGCTGAACAGGAAAAGAAGGAAAGCTGAACAGTTTGAGCATAGTTTTTCTATTCTTATGGTTCATATATCACTTTTATATT